CGAAACCAAAACGGTTTCAGTTTTTTGTTTGAATAGCAACAAGATATCGATCGGGGAGTTAACAAATTGGATGTAATGACTTGTTGAGTTTAAATTGTTAATTGTTAAAATTGTTCATAAATCTTTTTAAAATTTAATTTATAGCTATTTATAAAAAACAAAAACAATCGTCATGAATCGCTAATAATAAACACGACAAGTATTTTACAAAGACCATCAATTATAGTTAATTAAACTCGATATGTCATTAAAATATAACACGTTATAAAAAACGATTATTATTACATTTTTGATTCAGCTGTAATATTTTAATTAAATTGTTTTTTTTATTTGTCTATCTCAAGTTTTCCTGGTAATGTGTTAACCCGACACGTCTATTAAATCAAAAATTAACTCTGAGCTCTACTTTAAAATTAAAAAAAGCACAAATTTTAATTAGCATAATATACTAATTATATTGTATGAAAAATACACCTGTCACTGTGTGTTGTATTAATGTATGGCCTCCCTTCTTTGTTATTGTTCGTGTTATTTTGTAAATTTGTAATTATTATATCCCATTTTCTTATTATGCACATATCTCTGATTGTACATTTTATAATTAAAAAAATAAAAATTACTCATTAATCAATATTGCTTTATTATTAATATTATATTTATGATTTATGATCTCGGTGTTTTTATTTTTTTGTTTAATAATCTGATAAAATATAGGAATAAATGAATTAAAACACAATAATAAAGATGACACTTAAAACTGGCAATATTTTTAAAATAAATTTTTTTTCTCTTATGATACATAATGTAAGTAAAAAAACACAATAAAAGTCATCCGGAAAAGATATTATTATGTGGCAAAAATATTAAATGTTTCAATCAAAATCGATGCGATATTAAATGTATAGTCGTAGATCAAAGTAGTCTTACCCATTAAATCCTCTTATACTTACAGTGATGCAGATAACTAGTTATTTATGTTCTACTAAATACGAAATTAATTTTCCCGAGAAATTTTCATTATTTCAACATCTAAAAATCTTTTGAAGAAAAAAAAATACTGTGTTATATATTAATCTTTATAACAAAACCACAATGATTGTCTACTTAATGATTTCGTAAGCTATTTTCGAATTTTTTTTTTTTTAAATCGACTGGCGCTTTATACGTAAACTTTTATAGATTTTGAATGAAAAGAATTACTATACGATTTTACAATATTAAATATATTTATTTTCTTATTCTTCTGTAAATATATATATATATAATAACAAATCAAAAATTCAATGTTGTTCATATCTAATACGAATGAAAATAAGAAACGGTGAAGGAACTTTCTATCTTATACAGAAATTTTTTTGATTCGTCGAGTAAAAATGCAAAAAAAAAAACAATTTAAAAATATTATTGAATTTATTTTGATAGAACAAGTACTCTTTAGTGTCTTTCAACCTAAAACATGTAACTATGTTGTTTATATAAATAAAGTGGCCATAACATTTCCATCCTATTGACAACAACACTTGATTCGATAGATTAATACAATACGATGTGTTTACGAAAGACTTAACCATTATTAAAACGTGTTCAGAATCGTTTTTGAATGCGATAATTATTGATGATTGACAAAAAATTAAACATCGAAACAAACTCGTCAACAAATGCGATCTTAATTTACTATCATGTCTTGTTACATTATTTTATCATAGAATCCTTAAAAATCAGTCACCATGCATGTTCAAAAGTTTGGTGAATTCAGCTTTGTGGTAACACAAGATTAATGATTATTTTACACGATCCGTGTCGGCACGACGTGTTATGTAAGCTCAACAGTTAAACGATTTTATTTTTTGTATTTAACATTTCTATGTTTGCCTGTAAATTGTGAGTACAAGTACAGTAGAACTCCAATTAGCAGGACTTACTAATGTCAAAAATGGTTCGGATCAGCAATTATCCAGATAAATTTTTAACAACAAACAAATAATTTTATAATAATATTTAATTAAAAAAGAATAAGCTATAAATAAAATAACATAATTTTTTAAAAAAAAAAGAATAATAAAAAACTGACTTGGCGTATTCTTTATTTTATTTAGAAAAATGATAATATTTTAATTTGTTTCATAGTTGAATTTTATTTTAGAACAGCTATGTCTTTCAATCTCTTCAACTGTAACAATTGAGTGGTATTCGATTCTTCTTGCCTCTGAAACGATTTAAACGTCAAATATAATCTATTAAAAGCTTCAGAATGAGATGGCCCATTTTCACCTTCAATCAAATCATCAGTTTTATTTTAATTTATTTTAGTATCATCTTTTTCAAATAATCTACGAACTATTTCACTATCTAAAAGTATTTGACATTCAGGATCATTTGTTTTCATAAGCAACTACTCATTTATATTCTCTTCATCACAATCCTCAAACATGTGAATATTAAGCTTATACAATCCTGTATTTCAGCTGTTTCAAAATTTAATTTCACGTCTTGGGTATCTTCAGCTTGCTTTAGTAACTTATTCCATAACCTTTCCAAAGGGCAGTTTTGTAAACATTCCCATGCTTCAATTAGCATGTGGCATCAGTCCGATTTACAAGTTATTAAAAGACCAAACTTCTTTTTTTTCTCGTCCAGTTAATTAGACGTCCGGTTGATTGACGTTCGGATAAAGGAATAAAACGTTCGGATAAATTCTACTGTATTTATGTTTTTTATCATATCTATGTCTTATAAAAACTAATTTTAAATAATCCCTCCTATAGTTAACACTAGGTATATAAATCGACCAATCGTTTTCAATTTATTCATTCCTTCCTTTATTTTTCATACTCAGTTGTGACTTTATCGAAATCAGTTGTACATTACACATATGAGCATAGTAATACTCTTACGCCTTCATTTTTTTATTTCAATATTTATATATATATATGGTATATATAACACTGTTCGAGACTCGCTGCTTACACTCTCTGCGGGCCCGGAACCGGTCTCATATCTTATCGGATTGATCTGTTCACCGGGGCCGTAGAGAATGTTCTCGAGATCGGCGTTTGTCTGTCGTCGAATGACTCCCGTGGTGTGAGCCTCTGCGTGTGCCTTGCGCGTTTGGTGTACGATTGTGGTGTTTTTAGAACAATGTTTTTTATCTATATTTAGTTAGTACACCCTTTCTTTTGTGATTTGCCCGTAACCAAGGATTTGTACCCGGGACCCATTTCAGTTTGCCCCTGCCGTTGCGGATCGTCCGTGTATTTGAGTTCCCGTCGCACGTGTCGAGTTATCCACGGTCGCGTGGGATAGAATCCAGCGGGACTCAAATATATTGAGGTACTGGGAGCTGTGCCTCCCTTTATATGATTACTTTATTGATGTTGTAATATTTTAGTTTATTACTTTTGTGTATAATTAAATGGTTATTATACTGGTGTAAGGGCGCCCAACTACAATTTGTTATTATATTATAATATACCATATAATAGTTGAATTGTTTCCATTTTTTTATTATTATTATTAAGAAAATTAGTCCCGATCCTTCTGATCGATCCAAAATAGGACGTGCGATTCAGGACCACCTATATTCATGCGTTTTGCCGCGTTGGCTTAAGCGCAAAACAAGCACAGAATGAAAACAATTTTATAACTGTTATAAATATATTGTAATTTTTTATAATGGTTATAAACCTCATGGGTAAAATAAATATGTATCATTATTTTCTTATTTAAATTATGTAAATGTTAAAATTAATGGTTTCAACCAAGTATATTGATGTAAAAAAAAAATAATAATCACAATTATTATTGTATTAACTATTGTAAACGTTATTTTTAATAGTTACAATTTACACAATCATGTATGATTTGCCGTAATTGATATTTTTGGCTTGATTTAAAAATCATTTAATTTGCTCAATTGAGACTTTTTCTGGGTTTCAATAATTTTTCATTTGATTAAAACGTGCAACTTAGATCCGTTAAATGTATGTTTAATCTGTCCAAAAATAAAATACCTAACACATTTATCTAGTTGAATTGTTTACATTTATAATCGTTTATAACGTACTTTAAAAATGTTTTCGATTATTTTGACCAATATGATTTTTTGTGACGAGATGTTTATATAATCATTTATAAACATAATTTATACCGTACTCGTCGATTTTGTCAATATATCACCATAAGCAAATTTTCAATATCATTTTTTCTAGTTCTAACGCTAGTCCCCGGATCACGGAAGTGTATAAAAATTGATTGGCTATTAACCCACAAAAACGATATTATGCTTTCCATGAAAGCGCGTAATTGGTGCAGGCGTTCGCGTGGTTGACGATAAAAATCAAACATTAATTGCAAATCAACCGTCGAACTATTGTCTTTGTTCACATGATACGTTCTTAAATATACTTATCATAAACAATCTAACCACGTGGTGTGTAATTTTTTATTTCGATTAGTTAAAATTGTATATCACATGACAGCAAAGTTTCGTCATATTATCAATGTATAGGATACGAAAACACTAGTAACAAGGAAGTCTTATGAAATTGTATTATTATTCAACCGTATTTTTCTGTAAATTTTGAGAAAATCATGTGTTCTGATTACCTATGTACGTTGTATGTGCTACGCAAATTATACGATTATATTTTTGAAGTTTAGTTTGTAATTTGTTGTACTCGTACGTATTAAATGGTAGTACTCAATTAAAAAAAATCGATTTATTTTTTCAAACATAGTTTATAATTTAAAACGAAACTTATAACTGCCTAATAATGTCAATGGTGGAAATACTATTCCTAAATTTCATCTCTTACTACCTCGTTTTGGTATATAAATTGTGGTGTTATAATTGTATACGATGTTCTAAAACACATTTGAACGAATAGAAATATGAAAATCCATTGTTATTTATCAATATCAAACTGACAATTTAATGATATTAACTCAATGTTGTAAACATATGAGTAGTCAAATTTCTGACAGAAATATTTTTGTTGTAGGTGAAAAGAAGTATAATGCTTAAAATGGCCGATGCTTGTCATGATGTGGCTAACAAGCAAACAAGATTCCACGAGATGTACGTGCAGCGCCATAACAATGTTAGGTAAGTCTTGGTATTGCCGAAATAGAAACTCGATTTTGATTTAAGTGGTAGAAAATAAATAGAATAAAAACTAATAAACCGATCAACGCGAGTGCTTAACAGTATGCAATACGGCCTACTACACACTGTAATTATACTGGAATGTTTTTTTTTTTTTTTTTTGAGTGAAAAGACATCTACAATTTATACAACAATATGCACATTAATTAGATGAGATAAAAAAAAAAAAAAAATGCTGGAATGTTATGAATTATAAATTCGACAACCGTTATTACACAGGTACCAGACCCATCTTGAAATCTCGGGAAAAGAGTAAACTTACACTTTTAGAACACAATATTACCGTTAGTTTTTGCTATAATACGAAAAAAAATGGTTAATTTAAACATAAATAATTATTTCATTAATCGCTGTCGCTGGAAAATTAAATCATATCTACACTTGTTCATGCATTAGTTTTCACCTCCGTGGTTTCATTAATTTGATGGGCCGTCATCGAAACCTTACACCGGTGTCTATAACAGCGTGTATCTATACGCACGGATATAAAATTACGTTATACACATGCATTTTTTCCATTTTAACAAATACGATAAAAACATAATAAATCGTAAGATATATATGTATTCAATTAATGAGTTAAGACGATCCTATTTCTTCATAACACAGTATTCGGTCATTTATTTTTATTAAAAGTTCACTGTTAAAAGCAACCAATCTGAAGTTAATTTATTTCCATAACATCAAAGAGCTTTTAATTGCAACGTTGGATTTTTTAGATTTGCATAATTAAATATTTCGTAATAAATCCTAACTATGCAAGACATTATGGCGAAGTTTATACTACCTATACAGCATTACAGTTTTGTTATACAACAATAATTATTCACAATTTCTTCAAAAACGATTTCGGGTTTCGCACAATTTACAATACTTCGTATAATTTATTGGCCTGTTATTATCAAACAAAACGCATTCGAATATGATTTGGGAAGAGGGAGACCTTATAAGTCTCAACTTGTTCATTTGTTAATTTTTTCCCCGATTTCAGTGTATCCATTGTGTTATTCAATCGTACTTAATTACATAAAATCATGTAATTTTCGATATTTTTTTAATTAACTTAATTGTATACTCGACGTAACACAATATCAGTGTTAGAAAGAAAAATAAATCAAATAATTACTTTATATATAAATGCCTTTTGGGTTTATTTTTAGTTAAAACAAAAAATATAAACTTTGATTGAATTCGAACGACACCAATGTTATAAAATTGCATATACACAACTCCGTGTTATAGAAATGTATTAGTAATTATTTTTTTTTTATTGAACATAAAAACATCGGCTATTAGAATTATTATCGATTGTGGGTCGATTGTGTATTTGTTCGAAAATCCAATTTTATTAATATTTGCCTTATACTTGCATTCATTTTTAAAATTAAATTTATTATTGCCTGCAATGAGTCGCTAAATGAGTATTTCTTATCTTACAAAACAAATATTATAGCTGTAACACTTAAAACAATTTATTGTATAGAATTATTATTTTTTTTTTTTTTGTTTAAAATTTGTTTTCTTGTTTTATGAACTACTCGTATATACAAGTAGATATATAAAAAAAAACATTTCTTCTGTTTAAAGCATTTTGTACGCAGATATAGTCAACTTTACTCCATTATCTGAACAACTGACTGCATCCGATCTTGTGAAAACTCTAAATGATCTATTCGGACGCTTTGATCAAATAGCCCAAGTAAGTTAATTTTAGTAAAATAATATTCCTAACATCGCTCTCCAGTTTTTCTATGCTTTGTAGTCATAATTATAATTCGCTCTTCTCATTCTTAGTTTCATAATGTTTTAATCTATAATATTATTTATAAGTAACACACAATAAATTTAATTGTGTATTACACTATATGCTTGTATAGAATAAAAATAGTTGGTTCTAAACGTAAATTTAGATTAACATATATATATATAACTAGGATAACAATTAAATGCCATTTTTTATTAAACAAACTCAACTCATATATATATATATATATATATATATATATTGTAAGGATAAATTATAAAAAATTTCAATATTTTAACTATTATCATAAATCTAATTTACACGTGATAAAAAAATACCGGGAGGGGAATGAACCACTTCCGCCGTATTTATATCACTGAAATTAAACGCACAATCAACAAATATATTATCATATTATTTTATATATATACACCTACCAATATGTGAATCAGTGAATTTCACCTAGACGGATGTTTACTTTTTGTTGAATATTGTACGTATATGCTCTACACATTTATACTACGAATACCTATGTGTATTTAGAAATTATTCAACACAATTTTAATCCAACAACCGATTATACGAATTTAATCTATAGAAAAAGAAATGTAAAAACTAGCAATAACTGACATGAGATCACTACCTTTCCTCAGATATTTTGTTATTAATTGAAACTTGACTTTAATTTTCGATCAACGCAATGTTCCATATTAATTATATAATATTACATAATTTTATTTATTGTGTACAGGTTTACTAACCATGAACTAATGCGATCCTAACGATTTATTGTTTCAGTGTTTTTAATTGGTTATTTGATAATTTCAATTGATTTCTAATCCCAACAGATTATTTGATGTTTCAGACGGTATTATACAAAATAATATGTTACACAGCAATTTGCAGGGTTTCACTTTACTGCTCTTTCTATAACGTTTTAATAGCTTACTCGTATGAATTTTAGTCATAATGTTACAAGATAATATTATGTCTACGTATATTATTAAAATTTACATATATTAATACATGCTAGATAATATATGTTTGTAGGCAATTATAATATTGAACTCGCTAATGAAATTAGGTATACGGTCTACACGTGAAATGACTCTTGCACTATCATATACCTAATTATAATTTATACGTATCATGACTGTAATTATTATATATAATATCTATAATCTTCGATACAAATATAGCAACATCATGTTTGTTTTTAAATTTGTAGTTGAAGTTTCGCAAGCATTCTTAAATAAATACAATATAATTGTGGCAATTCACCGATAAAATGACACATTATTTTATATTTTAAAAATAAATTGGGAATATATTTAATTTCTTATCAGAAAATAATTTCTAGAGTGAAAAAATGACATTAATCATTTGACTTATGTCCTAAAGAGATGATTTCCTAGTGATTTTGTGTTCACATTTATTTTCGGCCTGAGATGGAAATCTTCGAGGATATTACCATATAAAAAGCTCTCTCCTCATACCAGTTACTCAAGTTAAGTTTATTTATTTATCTACTGAATTTAATTACAATGAGTATTGATTGGGTCTATGCTTACAGAATTGATATTTTCTATGGATTATTTTCCACAAGCTCCTTAAATATTTGAGACGTAAAGATAAGAACTTATACCACTGTTTCATAAATGTAAACAATTACAAATAAATGCCATCAAAGGTAGAATGGTGCGTTACAAACTTTTAAAATGAATAAGAACTCAACATTTTATTTTCAACATTTTTTCAACATTTTATTTTCGTCTTCTATTGTTACACAAATATTTGCTTGGAAACATTTTAAGTGTTCTTGGAACTTCCATTTAATATATCAACCCCTAAAACATATATTTACCATTTAGGAACTATATTCTATGTTTTGTTATGTAAAATATTTGAACAAGTGTGTTTGAGGGCAAAATTCTTTTGTCTGGTATGTACAAATATATTAGTTTTTTATATTGTATGTCGTCTGTTATGGATTAATTTCATTCAACATTATTATGTTCTATTATTTTATGGTGATTAGTATTGGGACTTTTCTTACTGAAAATATATTCATAGTCTGCGTGTTTTTTGACATTACGATGATATAAGTTATAGGTTCGTTATCATGGCAACAACACCAAAGTGGGTCCAACGATGCCAACATATCTTCAGAGCAACCAACACACACTATCTCTGATACTATATCTACATTTCTGATTGAAATAAAAATCTTATTAAACCCTCTACTTTCCCTTCTCACCGTCCTAATAAACAAATTCACAACGAATTCCCCATAAATTATCACAACCAATTACCAACAATTGCATTCAACCTATTTATGTAATCTATACGCCCTTATCTTTATATTAACCTTGTAACGTTCGGAAAAACGCACAAAAAAAAGAAGAAACACTAATGATTAAGAAAATTGTGTTTTTTTATTATAAGAATTGTGCTCGGAGAGCTTTAATGACACGAACAATATATTTGTGCTCGGAGAGCTTATACGAATAACGAATAGGTCGCGTCGACGGGAATAAAGACCTCGAACGAACGATACTTCAGTCGGTGCAATGCCGGAATTACTCTAACTATTGCCCCATAAACCGATGGTTATGCTGATCGATGCAATGCCAGAATAACTCCGACTATTACACCACTGACCAACATAAATATATCGTTCGTCGAGATCGGGGGGATACTGTCTTCCAATGTTGTGTAAGTCTGCCTGGGAAGGTCTTACTACAACACCGGAGAGACAGTAAATGGTGACTTTCCATCACGCCACCGTGCCTTTTATAGGTAGGTGCACCGATAACGGCGTCCGTTGGCGCGATGGATTTAGCCTGGTGACGACTATCCGAAATTCGGTAACAATTAAAATTAAAAATAATACATTAATTAACTACGTAACATGCGCAAATAAACTCGATATCTCATTTAAATAATAATAATAATATGAATAGTAATCTTAATAAGATACCGAGCGTCCGCACATGTTACGTAATTATTGCATAAACAACATTATTAATATTATTATATTTTTGGTTTTTTTTTTTCTATTCTGTATACCTATTCAATATTATGATACAATATCTTATTGTTAATTTAATTTAATTACGTTGTAGATAATATAATTGTTGAGCTGTAATAGTTAATACTAAAAGCTAATAAAATAAAAAATAAAAAAAAAAATTTATGGGTAGGTTTATATTTCGAGTAGAAGGAAAGAATTATTTTTTTTTTTTTTATTGAAAAAAAAGGACCCTCGGCAGCATGGGCCATTGGGTTTACTTATATTTATTACATTACATATATTTTTTACTTATATCTTACATTATATTTTATTATATTTTGATGTACAGATTGGAGATTGTGATGAATTGGATGATGTTGGCAATGGATTGAGGGTGGTTGTTGAGTATTTCCGCTAGTGATTCTGGTAATTTGATATTTTTTCGAGTGTTGTGGTATATTCGGCATTCTGTGAATATGTGTTTTATAGTGACTTGAACACCGCAGGCTGTGCATATTGGAGGCTCTTCTTTGGCCATCAGGAAACTGTGGGATATATGGGTGTGTCCGATCCTGAGTCTAGTCAGGATGACTTCGAATTTTCTGTGTATTTCGAGGGGAAATGTCCAGTTGTCTATATTGTGTTTGATTTGATTTAATTTAGTGGAGTAGGATGACCATTTCTGTTGCCATTTTAGTTGGCATTTATTTGTTATGAGTTTTTGTATGTCTCTGGAGGAGATGATTTGTCTGCATGATGATAGTGTAGATGTGATAGCGGTTTTGGCTGCGAGATCAACGTGCTCATTTTCTATGATGTTGGAGTGTCCGGGGATCCAGAAGAGTTTTATTTTGTAATTATAGGTATTTCGAAGCGTGTATATTTTGTTTTGGATCTGTAGGCCTATGTCAGAAGGGTTATATGTATTTTTGATGTTATTGATAGCACTGAGAGAGTCGGTGAAGATAATGGTGTCTTGGAGGTGGTGTTCGGTTATTAAATCAAGAGCTTTAATTATGGCGAATGACTCTGCTGTAAAAATTGAACAGGAGCTTGGAAGTTTGTATAAGAATTCAGTGTTGTTCCAGATTACTGCAGCTCCGACCCCGACTTGGTTTTTGGACGCATCCGTGTACATTTTTTCGCTATGGATGTTTTGGATAAGGTGCAAATATTCTTGTTTGTATATAGACGGGGCTGTGTCTTTTTTTTTAATTTAGAGAGTTCGGTGTTAGCTTCATTGAAATTTTTCCATTGGGGAGTGAGGGGAGGCGTAACATTTAATACATTAGAGATGTCTAAATTGTTCTCATGGAGTAGTGTTGATAATGTTTTGAGCTTTGGGTTGAAGTCGAGAGTCGGAAGGGTGCTTGCTAATTTTAATTCATGATTTAATGTTATTTTAAGTCTTCTTATATCAAGTGGGGGTATGCCGGCTAAGTTATATATGCTGGGTATTGGACTTGAACGATAAGCGCCAATTGACATACGGAGACCTGCGTTGTGAATTGTATCAAGTTTTTTTTTATGTCGATTTATTTGCTGTGGTCCAAATAAAGGATCCGTAGTCAAGTTTGGAGAGTATAAGTGACTTATAGATTGTTAGCAAAATGTGTGTTTTGGAGCCCCATGATGTGTGGGATAACATTTTTATAATATTTAGGCGTGGAGAGATTGATGTTTTCAGTGAATTGATATGATGGGTCCATGAGCATCTTTTGTCAAATGTTATGCCGAGTATTTTGATTGTATTATTATTTTTTAAGTAATGATCGCCCATTTTTATGTTAATTTGATTTTGAATGCGCTTGCGTGTAAATACAATGCATTGTGATTTTTCAGGTGAAAAAGTGAAGCCGGATGTTTGAGTCCATTTTTGGAGGTTGTTGATGGCGAGTTGTAGGTGGGTTTGGACTGTTTCTAGGTTTTTGCTTCGGCAATA